CCCCCTCCGTCAGCCTCATCCCTCCTGCCTCCTCCTCCTCATCATCCACTTCCTCCTCCTCCTCCTCCTCCTCCTCCTCCTCCTCCTCATCCTCCTCCCCCTGTCCTAGGTCAATTTTGTTTCACTGATGATGGCCTCTCCTGGGTGAAGGCTCGGGGGAGGCGCTGACTCGTCTTGCGGCTCCCGGTGGTGAGGAGTCGGATTCATTCGCGTCTGATTTTGTTTGATCTTGGATCGCCCCGGATTTAGGCCCGTCCGTCCCTAATCACAACCTCCTCCGCCTCCTTCTCCTCCTCATCCTCTTCCTCCTCCTCTTCCTCCTCCTCCTCTTCCTCCTCCTTCTCCTCTGGAGAGAAAGCCGAGGCAGGGGGCTGGTCTGGAGCAAGAGCGCCTTGAAGCCACACGCCAGTCGCCGGCCCACCCCATAGTGCCAGGCCTTGCCTCCTCCAGGGTGGGGCCTTCCTAAGGACAGGGAACATGAGCTGGGTGCGCGAGCTCGCCTTCACAGGGCGCCAGTTTGACGCAAGCGAGGCGTCACGCTTTGGCTTCGTCTCGCACGTCGCCGTGGACCAGTCCTCTCTGCGGGAGGCCTTCCCTCATCCTCCTCCAACTCCTCCTCCTCCTCCTCCTCCTCCTCCTCCTCCTCCTCCTCCTCCTCCTCCTTTTCCTCCTCCTCCTCCTCCTCCTTCATCTCCTCCTTTTCTGACGTTCATGAGGCGGTGCCTGATGCGTTATTATCATTATTCATATTTGTTTCTTCTTCTTATTATTATTATTATTATTATTATTATTATTATTATTATTATTTTTGTTATTATTATTATTATTATTATTATGCTCCTCCTCTTTCTTCTCCTCCTTTTCCCCCTCCTCTTCCTCCCTCTCCTCCTCCGCATTCCCCTCCTCCCCTCCCTCCTCCCCCCTCCCCCAACCCGCCTACGGGGGCGGAGAAGGCCGTGAGCAAGCTGGCGAGCGCGATAGCAAGCAAGTCGCCCGTGGCACTGCGTGCGACGAAGGAGATGTGCTGCTACGCCGAGGGGCATGACCCGGACGAGTGTATGCACTACGTCAGGACTCGGGGCCCAAGGCACGGAGGTCAATGCAAACGGGGGTCAGTCAGAGCGCCGGATCTTGCAGGGTCCTGCAGGGCCAGGGGTGCAATGACCCGGGTCAGGGCGCAGGATCCTGCAGGATCGTACAGGATACTGCAAGGTCCGACGTTCCCGGGTTTGGATGGACCCGGGTCAGTGGATTCCCGAAGGACGCTCAATGGCGCCATGCTGCAGACCAACGATGTGATGACGAGCGTCCAGGCCTTCATGACGAAGCAGCCTGCCACGTACTCGAAGCTGTGAGATAGTGGGCATCCGGCACTCGCGGTCTTCGTTGGAGGTGGAGGAGAAATGAGGAAGACCAGTGCAAACCCACGATCCACCAACGTTGTTGCAATAAGCCCTCCCTACATGTTCCCTCTTCACAGGTCCCTACCAGGATTTATGTTCGCTGAGGGAAGTGACCCGTTGGAAGACAACTGCTTAATTCTTGGAACGTGCAAGAACCGTATCCCTGGTACTTGAACGCGGTGAATCCACGTTACTGTTGCGTCTTGACGATCCTGAATCGTGCCCGACCACAATTCCTGAGACCCCAACTCTGCGAATCAGCGCGACGGTTGTGCCATGAGGGTTTTAGATCGCGCCCAAATACGTTTCACGATTACTGCGTTGCGTGAGGAGGAGGAGGAGGAGGAGGAGGAGGAGGAGGAGCAGGAGGACGGAGGACGGAGGAGGACGAGGAGGAGGACGGAGGAGGGATTTTGAATCATGGACCAGGGACCAGGGACCAGGGAGGGAGGAGGTTGGAGGGTGGAGGGAGGAAGGAGGAGGGGGAGGAGGGGGAGGGAGGGAGGAGCACAAGGAGCAGCCCTCCCCAGCGAAGGCTGGAGGGCCGACTCCCCGTCCAGCGAAGGCTGGAGGCCCGACTCCCCGATGCTCTCCGCGGCGCCCTTGGTGCCCGACAGAGCAAAGCCCGCGGGTTGTCCTGCGCGCGCGGCGACGCTACGGCCTCTCCCCTCTGGGCCGAGCGACGACGACTTCGACCCTGGGGGCGGCAAGGATATGGGGAGGGAATTGGAGGAGAAGGAGGCGGACGAGGAGGAGGAGGAGGAGGAGGAGGAGGAGGAGGGGGAGGAGGAGGAGGAGAAGGAGGAGGAGCAAAGGAGGAGGTGGAGGAGGAGGAGGAGGACGAGAAGGGGAGGAGGAAGGAGGAGGAGGAGGAGGCGGGGGGGTGGGTGTCGCATTGCGCCGGTTCGAGTTCGAGGCAGGGGACAAGATGAGACGGGAGGATGAAAGAGAGAGAGAGAGAGAGAGGAGGAGGAGGAGGAGGAGGAGGAGGAGGAGGAGGAGGAGGAGGAGGAGCAAGAGCAGGAGCAGGAGCAGGGGCAGTAGGAGCAGCAGGAGGAAGAGCAGCAGCAAGAGTATGAGGAGAGGAGGGGGAGATGGGAAGGAGGCGCTTATGAGAAGGATGATGAAGAGGAGGAGGAGGAGGAAGAGGAGGAGGAAGAGGAGGAAGGTGGGAGCGGTGAGCAGAAGGAGGAGGGGAGGACGACGACGAAGGAGACGAGGAAGAGCGCTCAGTGCCAGTGATGACACCAGTGCGTGGATTTCGAGCAACGAAGGTAGGCAGGCGCCAACCCTGTGTGGAGAGCCCTGTACGAGCGGAACCATCGGGGCGTGGATCTCTGTTGGTTGCCCCCCCCCTTGTGTGTGTGTGTGTGTGGGTGCGGCTAGGCGTGTCCCCTGCTTAGTGCTCGCGACGGTGCCGCCAGCTCGCCACTGGAGGAAGCGTGTGTGGTTGTGTTTATGCGTGCATGGGGTGTGTTTGAGCGTGGAGGAACCCAATGCGTGGAGGAACGCAGTGTGTGGAGGAACCCAGTGTGTGGAGGAACGACGTGTGTTTGAGTGCGTGTGTGTTGGAACTCTATGTGTGTGGAGACCTATGGGTATGGAGCCCTGTGTGTGTTTGCGGAGCCTCATCTGTGAAAACTGTCCCATGCGTGCGGAGTTCTCGACCGGCGATTGGCAAGAAATCGCTCGTCGGCCGCTACCGAGACCCTGTATGGCGGCGGCGGAGCGCGGGCAAGAGTTGGTTTGGGAAGCGTCCTGAGAGATGGTCGGACCGAGGTATCAGATCGAGGCCGGATTGGGGAGGGTACCGTGACGTTCTGCGTGTCTGTTGGATGTTCTTGTGCATCCTGGAAGGGCGGGGGGCGCCCTCGAATGTTCGTCAGTGTGGCCAGCGGAGGGTCTCATGTTCTTGAAGGATGTTCTTGTGTCCTAGGTCTGGCCGTAATCTCCAGGGCCAGGGATCTCCGAACGCCGCCAGAGGCCATCAAAAGTCACCGAACACAGTCAGAGTCGCGTTCCTTCCATGTCGCTTGGCAGCTGTCCTTGCGCGACCCTATTTTCCTCCTCGCTCTCTTCGCAGTGCCTCCTCCTCCTCCTCCTCCTCCTGCTCCTCCTCGTCATCATCATCATCATCATCATCATCATCATCATCATCATCATCATCATCATCATCATCATCAGCATCAGCATCAGCATCAGCATCATCATCATCACCATCAGTATCATCATCATCATCATCATCATCATCATCATCATCATCATCATCATCATCATCATCATCATCACAAGCATCCTCGCTCCTCGGTGGGCGACGACGACGACGACTTCCACGACCACGAGGTCCGCTGCCACGACCACGATGACCACTCCCACGGCTACGACGACCAAGAGGTTCGCGACCGCCACGACGATTCCGACGACTCGCGTCGTCATCGTCGTCATCGCCGTCGCTGGCGCCGTCGGCGTCCGCCGGCGCCACCAGCACCGTCGCCTCCGCCGCCGCCGTCGGCGGCGGATGGCGTCCGACGACCGTCCGTTCTCGGGGCCCCCTGCGCGGGGACGCCTCCGTAAGCCAGGGCATCGGCGCGCCCGAGGACACTGCAGCGGGGGGCAGCATCATCCTCCACCCTTCGTCCTCTCCAGGCGCAAACTCAGGGTCCTGGTTCTCAGTGTCCTGGCTCACGGGGCCCTGGTTCGCGTCCTGGGAGCTTCAAGTGGCGCCCGCCGAAGGATTCCGGACAGCTGCCCAGCCTGAGCTTCCCGCGGTCTTGCCTGCGGATGGCAGACTTGCATATTGCAGTCATTCTATCCCGCGGGCTTCGTCTGGGCTGCGAGCATGTGCTTCCAAAGTTCCCCAGGGTCCGCGGAGGCCTCTGGAGGCCTCTGGAGGCCCGGCGAGGGCCAAAAGCGTCCGAAGAGCTCCTGAACTTGGCACCGCTCGGACTTGTGCGCTCCTTCCTCGCAGAGGACCATCGACGAGCATCCTGGACCACCATGGGGAAACCGAAAACCCCACGAGACCGACCCGTGCCCCGGGGGCATGCCCGCCCGAGCGCCGGCGAGCACATCTCTCTCCAGCCCCGAGAGGCCCCCTGCAGCCCGGCCGCCCGCCCGCCCGGCGCCGCCCGTCCCTCCGTCGCCGTCGACGTCGCCGTCCGTCTCCGGCCGTATCCGTCCGTCCGACCGTCCGGCCGACGTCGCCGCCGCCCGGCCGTCGCCGACGTCCGCCCGTCCGTCGTCGACGTCCCTCCCTCCCCAGACCCCCGACGTAGACGTCGACGTCCCTCCTCGTCGACGTCCCTCCCTCCCTCCCCAGACCCCCTCCCTCCCCAGACCCCCTATCCTGGGCCAGGACGAGGCCCAGGATAGAGGAACAAGTAGAACTGAAAGGAGCTTGGCCCCCCCAAGAACCAAATAACTTTTGAAGAACTAGACATGAACCATGTGCATCGGCAAGCCCAGACCCCCGACGTCATGATTTTTTCATGACGCGACCCCCAGAGGTCCGGACCTATTCGCCGGGACCGGTTTGTCATCCCGAGTCGTTTTTTGGCGGTCCCGAGGGCCGGTAAGGGCCTCCGGAGGGCGAAAATGGCGACAAACCTCCCGTCGTGATTTTTTCATGGCTCGAGGGGGTCTGGGTCCGTCGTCGCCGTCCGTCCGACGGTCCGGCCGACCGTCCGGCCGCCCGTCGTCGACGTCCGTGCGGCCGTCCCTCTCCGTCGTCGGGCGGGCCGCGCGGGCCGCGCCGTCGGGTCTGGCCGCCGCGGGCGCCCGCGCGTCTCGAGCCTCTCGAGGGGCCCAGGCGTATCGGCCGCCCAAAGGGGGGCCCGTGGCGAGGAGCTTTTTGGTCTCGCGAGCAGTGGCGGAGCGTCCTGGCTCCCAGACCCCCTCGAGCAATGAAAAAATCACGACGGGAGGTTTTTCGCCATTTTCGGCCTCGGGGGGCCCTCACCGGGCCTCGGGAGCGTCAAAAAACGACTCAGGATGACAAACCGGTCCCGGGGAATGGGTCCGGACCTCTGGGGGTCGCGTCATGAAAAAATCATGACGTCGGGGGTCTGGGCTTGCCGATGCACATGGTTCATGTCTAGTTCTTCAAAAGTTATTTGGTTCTTGGGGGGGCCAAGATCCTTTCATTTCTACTTGTTCCTCTATCCTGGGCCTCGTCCTGGCCACCATAGGGGGCCAGGAACAGTTTAGAAACGAGCACAAGCAGAAATGAGCACGATGAGAAATGACCGACGCGCACAGGCCCACCCAAACATGCCTTGAGAACCTTTTGTGGTTTGCACGACATGTTCTTAGAACTCTTCTGGTTGAGGCTGTCTTGTTCTACTGCGTCGGCCTTTACGTTCTGAGAGCAGAGTTCTTTAGTAGAGCGTGCTTTGACGATGAGAACTTGAAGTGGTAGGCCCCTGGGAATGCCAGGACAGTCGGCCCCTGCTCAAATCTCAAGCCTCGAGGGGATCTTGCCGTTCGACCACCTTGCCGTCCGTCTGTCGTCGACGTCAGTCCGTCCGTCGTCGACGTCGACGTCGCCGCCCGGCGGCCGCCGCAGGCGTCGGCGGTTCAGGGCTCCCGGCGCTGCTGTGGGCGGACTTGCCGGCGGCCCCGGCGTCGGGCGCGGAGGACGGCGATGCGCCCGTCCGCCTCCACCCCCTCCGCCTCCGCCTTCGCCTTCGCCTCCTCCTCACCCTCCTCCTCCTCCTCCTCCTCCTCCTCCTCCTCCTCCTCCTCCTCCTCCTCCTCCTCCTCCTCGTCCTCCTCCTCCTCCTCCTCCTACATCCCCTCCCTCCTCTCCCTCCTCCCTCCCCCTCCCTCCCTCCCTCCCTCCCTCCCTCCCTCCCTCCTCTCCTCCTCCCTCCTCCCCCTGCTGCTGCTGCTCAGGGCGAACGAATCCAAAGGATGCAGCCCTTCCCTGCCCTGCCGCGGTGGGCGTGGCAGGTGTTGAAAGTGGGCACCTCCAACCGAAACGGGGGGCTTCCCCTGGAGGCGAGGGAGAACGCGGAGCGGGGACGACACGGGAGGACAAGGCGAGGAGGAGGAACAGGCACGACTAGGAGAGGGGAGGGGGGGAGGTCCCGGCAATCTAGTGAAGCCCCGAGCGCCCCCTACCGATAGCGGCGGGAGTTCGACTCCAGAGGAGCGTCGTGGCCCCGATCCGACAATCCCTCAGTGGCGCACACCTGGAGGGAGGGGGGACTGCAAGGGTCACTGGGGAGCCGGGGCCTGGATGGTTAGTACAGAGCGAAGCGACAGGTGTCCTCCTCCACCGCGTCGTCGCCTCCCCTTGCCCACCTTCGATATCGGATCA